TAAAAGCAAGAAAGTGTTTCCCCGCTCCGACTTCGGCATGTGTGTCAAAACATCGATCAAGACCACTTCAAATGGTCGTCTTGGTTCGATATTTCCAGGAGATGGACCAAGGTTAGATGGATGTCCTTTGCCACTTGCGCAATCCACACACCCTTTTACGTGTCGTTCCACATCGGCATACATCCCGGGCCAATAGAACTCAAAGCGCAATTTTTCGTGAGTCCGTTTGATGCCCTGGTGTCCACCCTGAAAATCCTCGTGGGCATAATGTAAGATGTCCTCTCTCAGGGTGATGGGTACTACCAGTCGTAATTCATCCTGGGCATCTCGGGGTCTGCCTCGGGTGGACTGAGCTAACCGATACAACACGCCACAGGCATCCAGGGCAACAAGTCTGCGACCTTGGCGATCTTCCGCAACCGGTGTAAAGTGAAACGATCGACTTCTCCATTCAGGAAATCTCTTAAGTCGCGCAGGTATTCATCTTGCTCCTGGTGCACTTTAATTCGCCGCCACATTTCTCGTTGGTAATCCAAACGATCAAGGGACTCTGATAACCTTTGTTGGTCTCGGACATTAGCCCGTGTCACGGCAACCAAGATTTTGGCTGCACGTGGCAGTGGAGCTGTCATGATATCCAGGGTAGAAGGGCATCCAGTATCGTCCGGACAACCTTCTTCGTCCCGGGTGATAACGAGTCCTGAATGGCCTGTCGCCGGGTGACTTTCGGCTGACTTCATCAAATTCTCTTGAATCTTGGGTACTCGCTCCAGATGTCGACGTTCTCCATCATCTTGGACACTCCAGGATCTTCCAAGCAACAGTGTCTTGAAAGTCAGATAATCCGCTGCCTGGTTGAAGTCCCGCTTGACGTGCACCAGTCTCACCGAGTCGAACTTTGCTTTCAGTGTTTCACAAATGGCCAATCATCTTTGCAAGTTAGTCTGATTACAGTTGATCAGACCCTGTACCTGTTGGATGACAATTCGTCAGTCACCCACAGCGATCAAGTCCCTGACGCCCCTGGCCTGTGCCATGGACAGACCGTTCAAAAGCCCACAATACTCGGCGTCATTCACAGTGACATCTTCCAGGATGAAACCCTGTGCATCCAGGATTGTCCATCCAGGGAGTTCCCACAAAATACACCCACAACTACCTTGCCGGGTAGACGTCTTGGCAGCACCATCGAAACTCAAAACGATACCGTGGAAGGTATCTTCCAACATCTCCACGCTGATTATCGGTGGCGGTTTCGCACGCTACTTGGCGGGAATGAGCTCCTCGGCGACTTCGTCTAAATGCTCTCGAGGTGTGATGCCAGCGCCCAGGATGACCATCTTCGTCTCGCTGGATCTTCCTGACATCCAGATTCCACTGCGAAAGTAGAACACCCCAGGGCACACATCTCCCATCTGCCGTCCTCGATTTCATGATCCACTTCAGAACCGAGTGCCTAGTGTACACGATGAGAGGGCAACCCAGAATGAGCATCCTGAACACCTGTAGTACCCTCAGCACGGAGATGACATCCTTTTCTGCGATGTGATACCTCAATTCCGCATCGTGGAGGACACGCCCCGTAAACCGCGCTGGCTGGATCAAGCCATCCTGTTCTTGACCCAGGACCGCACAGGCAGCCCATCGGTTTGCATGGGGTATAATGGCGAATGGTTTGGTCCTGTCAGGGTGTCGTAACACTGGGGTCGATACGATCTTGGGTTTCAGGATTTCAAACGCCTGCTTTGCCCTGGAGGGATCTCGCCCTGAACGCACTTGGTCATCCGAGAGTTCATACAAGGAAGCTGCAACCACAGGGTAGTCTTCGATGAATTTATTATAATAATTCAGGCTGCCCAAGAAAGATTACATTCCCTTCAGGCTAGTTGGGAACGGTAAATCCTGAACTCCCTTAGCGATCTTCGGTGTCGCCCTGATCCCTTCAGCACTAATATCATGCGACAAATACGGGATGGGCAATTTTCCGAACTCGCTCTTCGGCAGACTCACTGAGATATTCCAATACCGCAGCCTATATAGCAGAGCATCCAAGTCAGCGCACAACGCATCCCAAATTGGTGTGCCATGCGCGATATCATCGATATAAGAGCTACGCCCTAGGACAGGTGACATCTGGGTTGGAGCAGGGATGTTCCTTTTGAAGACTGTCATTTGGTCAGCCAGGGTCGGCAACAACCGTGGAACATGGACGTCTTTACAACCGGTGCGCCCTGGAGTGCCACACCCTGGGGATCTAAATTCAGATAATCCAAAACTTCTTGGTCTACCTCCGCCTCCTCTTCTGGTGGCAAACGCACGAATCCCCACAGGCAATTATTGATCACTTGCTGGTAAATCAGGGGTTTGTTTTCAGACCAAATGACATTCGAATCCTCTGAAAATGCCCAAACGGACATACGAAAGTTGAAATCGATTTGGCCCTTTCGGTCATCTTGATTGCCCAGAACCCGCTGGCCATATCCAGGCTCATGAACCAGAGTGCTTTCTGAAAACCGACTAGCAGGTCGTCGATGAGAGGTAGCGGATAGCTAGACAGATGGATGAAATTATTCATTAGTCGATAATCCATGCACATCCTCATGTCCACTCCATTTTTCTTGAGCACGATCACGATCGGAGATGCCCACTGCGATTCAGAATGTTCAATCTGATTATTCTCGAGCAGTTTCTTGAGGAGCTCGTATACCTTGACCGCCACGTGCGGTCCAATTGACCTTGGGCTCAACGCGATAAGTTTGACATCTCCCACATCGAGGTCACATACTACTCCTCTGGCGGGAGCAGGTGCGGCATTTTTATCACCCAAGAAAATCTTTCTGTGGCGCTTCAGGATGGCACGCATCCTGGATTCATCTTCGGGAGAGGTCTCACCTGGGACACCTACATCGGCCTGATCGATGTAGCATTCTGGGT